TGAAAAACTATTCCCATAACCCGACATGGACTGGTAACCGGACGAGAGGCCGTGGTTCGCTATTAAAGCTATCTTATCGACTTTCCTCTCCCCCGAGATAAATAAGTAGGTTTAATGAAACATTTTTTTTTTGGTTTACAAAAAGTGTACTGCGCCAATACCAGATAACCGATATTAACAAGAACTTATAGGATAGGATTCCCTTATTCATCCCGAGGGAGAGGAAGCCGATAAGACAGCTTAATTATATGGTGAACCATGGTCTCCCGTCCGGTTACCAGTCAATAGGGTTAGTTAGTTATTTTTTGGAAGCATAGGATCGATGGTGGAGGAAATGTAACCGACCAGCGGTTAAGTGAACCCCCTTACGGCGACGAGAAATCTCCTCGCACATAACTGTCCCCGCATGGGATTCGAACTCACGAAGAATAATCAGAGGTGCGATGGCAAGCGTATTCCTGACGCTTAGCACAATGCGCAACACCGTCGAGCCATACATAGGCCATTGATTCCCAAGAGGTATCTGTTTTAGTATTTAGGCTACTACCGGTATTTGAGGAAACAAATATAACATTATATATCATACCTATTTTAACTGCGTCACGATTGTTAAGATAGGAATTTGGGTCATCATACCTGCTGGCGACTGCCGACTAACACCGAAAAGGTCAGAGCTAAAAATTTGCGCGCCAAATGTACCGGTCTCAATAACTAAATAGCCCTTGCCAGTTTACCCACATACAATATTTTTTTACGACGAATTTATACGCCTTTTGCCTCAAAAAAGCTCTGGACAAATATCAACTGCTGTATAAGGTGCTCATATAGTATAAAAAAAGCGGAATATTTTTGGTTCGGCATTGCCTATCCAATTTATTACACGCCGAGTGAGGGGTGAGCATGGGATATAAACCCGATATTTAACCCGCTATAACGCCATGCTAAAGTCTAATGCCCCAACCACAAGGCCTTCGCGCCCATTCACCGATATACTAAAAGTGGCCACTGCTCGTTACAATTATAGCCAAAATATTACTTTTAAAGGCGATAAACTCCGTCTTTAATTTAATTCTGAATTTTGTGACAACCTTCATTAGAAGCATAAGGACAATGGTAATTCAAACGTCACAATGAGAGATTAAGAGGTATTTGTCGGTGTCCTATGTATTGCGGCGATTCCGCATATGACGGATATAATAACTAAAATCTGTTATAAGCAACGTCCGATCTAGGTGGTAATTCGACTATTACTTTTTCACTGTAATCCCGTTAATGCATCGCGTGATCTTGTAGGCTGACATTAATATATATACAATGCAGTGGGATCTCTACCTACGAAATAAATTCGTTCCTGTAGCGACTTCGTAGGTAAAAAATTCCATAAGTAGAGACGCATTTTATCTGTAAATGCCCTAATTCGTTCTAAACCATACAAAACTCGGGCGTAATAGTTGAAAAAGTTATAATAATCGTTAAAACCCGTAACAAAAACACGTTAGAATTAGATTACCGCATGATAAACGGGAAAGGTACACACATAAAGAAGAAAGAGCAGAGAAATAACGAATAAAAAAACTACTTACGGTATGTTTGTGTACCTTTGTTTACCATCGTCATAATCAAATGAGTCAACTCGATTCCCAAATTTACATCCGCCGATGATGGACAATTCAGACTGCAAAACGTGTTTTACATAATTTATAGTTATAATTCTATTTTTGTTTATAAATTAATACAGCCAACTTAAACTGAATGATATTGTCATTAACGACGCCGGGATAACGATAAAATCCGCGATAGATACCAAATAATATCTAAGAGCTATTTTATATGCTCTAAATTGCGAGAAATGAAAAAATTTCTAGCTATGTTCGGTCACTATCGAAACTGAGGATAAAACAATTAATTAGGCCACAATTTGCTTTAAGATTTATTGACGAAGACGCACAAACTACCTGAAAAAATTGAAATGTACGATAACAATTGTAAAATATTTTCAATCGAAAACACTCTCGACGTGTTATAAGCACTTCAAGTCAGCGCTTATTGAAATCATTTCATGTCGGCTGCTATTTATCGCCAAACCGCACAAGATTGCCTTCCATTGCGATATAAAGTAAAATAATTGTAAAATGTTTTCTAATCAAAACGTTGACGACGACGCTAGGATATGGGCGCCATATTCGGGATTAATATAAACACGAAAAAAACGATATTAAATCGAATATTCAATATGATTTGGACATCTATGCATTAAATTAACCTGACCAAATAAATATCACGTTTTTTGAGGATTTCGGCCTTTCGCATGTAGAAAATCTTACGTTAGTCGAAGCAATATTTTCATGAGAATAATTTTCGTGAGTTGGATTTTTTGTAGAGTATTTTCAAGAGTATTCGTTGATGGAGTTTCTACTGTAATCAGTGGCTTATCTAGGGCGTGGCAGCCATGGCTCGTGCCGCGGGCGCCGTTTGGATAGAGGCGCAAAACGGGCAAAAAGTTGCAATCGTTAAATTTGTCAATAAAATATTTTCAAATTGGTGATATATACCTGAAAATCGTATTTTTACTCAAATAATAACGTAACTCATTTCATTAGAGTCATTATAAATCAAGGGGAGCGCATTTTTAAATTTTGCCATAGGTGCAATTTTATGTAAATACGCAACTGACTGTAACTAAGATCCAAACTAAAAAGAAATGGTCGAATAGTGACGTATTTTTTGATATACGCAGAGTATCAGTTACCTCACGGAGATCAGTGACGACCGCAAACTTCAAGTGCTGCCTGTATCCCAGCTCAGAACAATGAATTTTGTATACGATTTCAATAGTTAACATTCTTTCTCAACCACATGCCATTTTCCAACGCGCCCCCTTACATTTTAACCTGATCGGAACCTCATCAAAATATTTAACATTACCTCTACTGTACAAGTGGTACAGGAGGGTTCACGTAATTGCTGGTCGGTTACGGCTTCCTCCACTATCAAGCCCATGCATCTAAAAACAAGTAGCTGGTTAACTAATCCCATACCCAGGCTTGGAGAGCTGGCGTGGTTCTCCATACGAATAAGCTCTGTTTGGCTTTTTCTCCCCCTCCGAGATATATATATGTATAAATCCTATCTAAGTCCAGTCTGCTTCATTCTCTGAGATTCAACAAACAAATATTATGATGCTCAAGTTCTTTATTTATATATATTCATATTTACAAAGTATTAGTCTTCAAACTTACGCAAGTATATTAGTAATAAAACGAAAAGTAGTAATCCTGATTGTTCTCACTTACAAAGCATACGGGAAAATTAACATGAAATTTGTCAAATGTAACAATAAAGGCTGGAAATATCTACAACTTTCTAAATTGGATTGAAATAAATTTCATTATATGCAAGTTTTAAACCTTTTTGAAATGTTTAATCTAGCTCTGTATCAAGAATTGTGCTTTATGAATAAAAACTGTCATATTTTGTCATCGGTATATCAAATTAATCTCTTAAATATCAGTTATAAAGTTACACACGATACAGAAATCTAACAATGCAGATCTCATTAATAACATGTATGGGGTATCTAGGGTGTGGCAAACAGGGCTTGTGTTGTGGGCGTCGTCTGGAGAGCAGTGCAAAAAAGGCTAAACTTTTTTTAATCATAAAATAATTTCAAACTGGAAATAATTGAAAATCATATCTACAGTTAAATATTAATACCGTACAAGTATTTCAATTCATCAATAGTCCTAAAAATTGGGCGCTCCAGAAGTGTGTAAACCAAGATGACTGGCGGAGACCGTAACGTAGTATGTGTACCAGGTTAGACAATAACTTTATTCCGGTTTTCCTTATTTTAGTTCTACTACGAGTTCGGGGACAAGCCAAGTGACTCCCGTAGTATTTGTACCTGAAATTATGGCCTAACCCTAATCTGGTTTCGGTGTCCGCCATCTTGGTCCACATACTACATGAGTACCAAAAATTGTTAGGTACCGATCAAGGGGGCGAATTTTGCCATGGGCGCCATTTTAGATACCCCACTGATAACACGGGATCCATAACGTATAAAGAGATTCGTGGTAATAATAATTTTTTTCGATATTCAGTTCATCACAAAAAGTCGCGTCTGCAATTTTCAGATATTTCACCCAGTACCGGATTTATCATTAGGCAAGGTAGGCTGAAGCCAAGGGGATCCTCGTTTTTAAACTTAGACGGGTTCCAGAACATAACCGGTTTAGTATTAAAAAATTGATATTCGTTAAAATCAATTTAATCAGGTTAATAATTCTTGTCCTAAATATTTCACTTTAATGTTAAAACAATGAAAACACGGTCGAATGATTGATTTTTTTTCACTTCACGTGATAAACTTTTAAGCTAGACCACGTATACTTATTTAAATTATTTCAAAGTTTTTATCTTAAAATACAAGAAATATTATATGTATACTTTTCCATATCTTTTCTCTTTTCTCACAGACGTTCATTTTGAAAAACGGAATAATTATTTTGTGGCAAACGCGGAACAATGCAGTCTCATGGATAATTTTCGTCGTGTTGTTTTATCGAATCAAATATTTCAGGGGGCTATAATATGGGAGCTATGATGAAGCCGGAGGGTGGATTTTGAACTTATGCTGTAAGATAATGAAATATATTACGCACTTTAGAGTAAAAAAAAAAAAAACTAATGAGTTAAATTTGACCACAAACACAACGTAGCATCTTTTTTCATCATTTTTTAAAGAATTTATAGTGAATAGTGACACGCCGATACAATTGTGCAATGTCATATGGTCTTATAGCATAGCTCTGAGCTCAGCATTATAGCATTATGGAGCTTGACAGACGAAAAATGTCAACCCGAAAAAAGAAACTGCCATTAAAGCGAAGTTTGAAAAGGTCGGTAAATTCGTTGATTTAGGATCTCTTCCAATATGTGCTTTAAACTGAAACTTTAGTTTTGTGAAGCTTTATGTACATGGTTGAAAAGAACTGGCATCAAAATTTGGAATCGCTAATATAGCCAGCTCTACCTCCGTAAACAGCTCCAATGGCCAATCCAACTACACCGTCCAGAAACAATCCGATCACACCCCCGAAAATAGCAAGACAAATGACTTTCCCCCAGTTCTGCAATGTAAAAATTTAAAATTTTATTTTATATTAGGGAGCTGATACCAATGGGGGAGATTGCACATTATTCATCACCCTTGATTAACTTAGTTCAGAGTGAATAACCAAAGTGCCATTTTTAAGGCAGTGCAATAAACAATCCGTAGGAAACAAAGATTTGGTATTGTTTCGCTCATCTTGATCCAAAAGGAATCAACCAATAGGTGTTCTGTTTAACAAAAGACAATGGCGTTGAGAATCGTGTTCAAAACTTTTCGTATTATATATATATAATTCTATCTTGCGATATATTTTGGTTCGGATAATCTGAGTGCAACTTTTTATATATAAAAATTTAAAAATATTGCAGAAGTTCTGAATTAAAACCATAGTTTAGATCAGAGCTTCCCAAACTATGGGTCGCGAAACGAATTTTAGGGGCCGCAAAGAGATCACCAATTTTCTGTATCTATTGAATTTTTTTAGACTCTTGATTCGATACACAATTATTAAAACTAATGTAAAACAAAAATCTCACGATTCTGAGTGAATACATCATCATACCGCGTTTCCTCATAAGACAGTGTCTTGATTTTCTTTCGAAAAATAACACTAGGGCTTATTTTAGGGATCTCTTTCATTTTCGTTTTTCAAAATCAAAATTACAAAGTACTGAATTACGAGATTTTCAAATATACAAAATTTTCATTTACCTATAAATAACAAGTTTTATATAAAATAACTGCTAAACATAGATTATAAACCATTTCAAACGAGTAGGAGACATTTCTTGCTATCGACTGAGTATCATTTTAGGGGCGGGTTATATTAAAATCAATTTTGCAATTCAGGCTAGGTCGCATTTTCAGGTCAGGTTTTATTATCGGGGAAACACGTTTGATCATCGTGCTTGCATAACAATACATATTCTGATCGTAAGATCCTATTTCCGCACATTTGCATAACAATGCCGGCTTTAATCGTTAAGCCAGCGGATCCGAAGGCGACTTGCTAGGCACCTCGAAAATTAAAAGATCTGTGTTAAATATTTACTAATATACGATTGTATTTTACATATTTTCATTATTCCAAATATTTATTGTTCCTCATTATTGTAAATAATGTGTATAAGAATCAATAAATTCATTTCACCTTGTTAATTTGTTTAATTTAGTAATAGTTAGGTAGGGTATATTGTTACGTAACAGTAGAGGTAAACCCTACTTGCTGCAATTTCATAGGCTGCAGTTTATTCATTTGCTGAACCGAGTTTAGCGAAATCGGGCAGAGACAAGGAAGAAGAGTCGACTTTTTGCCTTTATTCTTTAGGCCTACGTGTTTATAAACTTTAATAGGCACAAAGTACACATTAACGACAATATTGCGTTTTATTTGGAAGGCGGCAGCGTTTTTTTTGTGTAGTTTTTCCCTGATAATTTGGCACTGAACAAACCGCTGCCTTATGCTAAATTTGATCATTAAGAGTGAGTATCAATGCCGGATAAGGATCATGCCTTCTCTGGTCGGACATCGTAATTCATTTTCATTGAGGCCTGCATTACCAAACATTGAGCCACGACTGAACTTGCTATGCAGAAATCATTCGCGCCCACCACGCTGAATAATTGAGTGTCGGTGATCCGAGTAAATGCGTGGGTGTTTTTGTTATTGGATAGGCCTAATAAGAGTTGAGAATTTAACTGTGTCACTAAAGTATTAAAAATCCATATTTCGAACTGTTCAGCATTATTAACGTGGAACAGGGGCCGCGAAAAATTTTAATGCATGGAAAAGGGCCGGGAGCGCAAAAGTTTGGGAAGCCCTGGTATAGATTATATAATATCATAGATGTCCTACAACATGATTATTTTCTAATTTGTGTTCAACAAAAAAAAAAACTGTTACCCCACCTACGCGCATTTTCCCTATCTAAAGAAGTACTAATTACAATACTCACAGTCTTTTTCACGCCACACCGAGATAGATTTTCTCGGAGCTTCGCATTTTCTGCGACGACCTCTTCACACTTTTCTTTGTACTCTAATAGTTCACTCTGTGAAATGTAAGTAGTCTATAGCGTGAATTGAATAATCTTCTGAGATGAAAGTACAATAATATAAAAAAGGGGGAGAAAGGTAACATTTTAGTGAAACTTTCGAAAACCTGTATTTTACGTGAGTGTCTTGAATATACGGAATTAAAATGCAACTCAGACGACCACCAGAATTTTTACGCTGTCTATCGAGCCTATCTGTACCCAAAAATATCGGGTATTTTGATAGAAAGTATAAACAGAAATAGGGGTTTATAAACCTCTCTTGTTTCAGCCTCATTTTCCAACATTCGAACTTGTTCTCTCTCAGTTCTGCACATTTCCAATGCCTCACTCAGTCTGGTAGTTAACTGTTGGATTTGCCCCTGAAAATATATAGTAGTGCATGCAAATCGTGTCAGTTGTGTTATATTTCAGTCGGCCAGAATATATGTCGGAAACTCATATATTAGAAAAAAGGCATGTAATATTAGAAAATCTCAGACGTGAGGAACGTAAAAAAATGATGATTATATTTTATTACGATTTTGGTGTCTAAATGGTCCTACATTTTATACATACGCATTTTTTTATATTATAAAAATACAAAATCCAGTCGAAAAGCCCAAAGCTGTTAATAAAAACGTTAGAGTATCAAAAAACGAGAACAAGACGAGGTACTACTATAAAACTTTCATTTCAACATTAAACGTATATTATTAATCGAGAGCCTAAAATTAGTAAGTGATATATTCTTGTCCTTTAATAGTAAATTCTAATGGACTGAAATCAATACTTGAAGAAAGGCATACATACATTCATTTCTAGATGTCTAAATTGATTCAAAATACCGATGTATACAAAGACAGCTGTTACTAGACAAGTTTCTGGCCCTGTGTATAAGTTGCGAGAGAAACCACATTCATAAATTTTACTGACCGTATGCGCATTTTGCATTTCCTCAATTTTGTTCATCAGTCCTTCAATAGTTTCTTTGTGCCTTGCTTCCTTGGCTTCCATTCTATCCTAAGAAAAATAGAAAGAAAAACTTTTGTTCATCAAAATATACTTACTCGTGTGTTTAACTCTTAGAATAGATTCTGATTACAAAACCCACTATATATCAGATCTATCGGTTCCTTCTCTAGATAATCATAAAATTAAGAAGTAATGTTCTTGTCCTTAAATAATAAATTTTTATGAACTGAAATCAATACTTAAGTAAATGCATACTTTCATTTCCAGCTCTCTAAATAGATTCTAATCTAAACGATAATGCATACAAAGAAAGTTGTCATTAGACGAGTTTCAGCCTCTGCGTACAGGTTGCGAGAGAAATCATATTTATTCTTACAAATTGTAACTTTTACGGACCGTAAATTCTTTTTGCATATTTTCATATTTTCAATTTCAAAATTATGAGGGAATGTTCTTGTCCTTAATAGGTTTTGATGGACTGAAATCAATACTTAAGATAATGCATACTTTCTAGGTACACTCAAAATGACAATGCATACAAAAGCTGAGGTTAAAATTATGAGACGAGTTTCCACCCCTGTCTACAAGCTGCGAGAGAAACCACATTTATGTTTTTGAATTGTAACTTTTACTGACCGTATGTTCTTTCCGTATTTCTTCGATTTTGTTTTCATGCCTTTTCATGAGTCCTTCCATATCTCTTCTGTAGCAAGCCTGAGGAAATAAAACAAATCTTGTTAATTAGAATATACTCACTCATGTGTTTACTTCTTGAAATATATATTCAAGGAAATACTTAAGGAAATGCATACTTTCATTTCTAGGTGGCTAAATATATTCAAAACGATATTGCATACAAAGGATGGGGTCAAGGGTTATGAGGCAAGTTTCCGCCCATGTCTACAAGTTAATACATTTATTTTTACAAATCGTAAATTTTACTGACCATACTTTCGTTTTGCATGCTCTTAATGTTGTTTACATGCGTTCTCATAAGTTCTTCTATGTCTGTTCTGTGGCTTGCTTTGATGGCTCTCATTTCAGCCTATGGAAAATAGAACAACTCTCATTCATTGAAATATGCTCATTCATGTGTTTGAAATATATTCAAGAATTGGTATAAGAAGTATTATGTAAGCACTAATAAATATTCCCCATCAATGAAGGTAATTAGCGAAACAATGCTATTCCCAAATGAGTTCGCGAGTTTCGAATATTTAATTTCCAAATAAAATTTGGAATCAGTATGTTGCAATTCGAACAATCCCGAATTATTATTGAACACGAAATGGAACTTTATCAAATAAAAAATTGCGCTCCTTGTGGCGGTTGCGCCTTCACGATCCCGTGGTCGTGAACACAGCGTACTGCTATGGTAGGCTGTAGACCTATGCCCGTACCATTTCGTGTCCATATATTTGAGCGTCGCACTTTTGTTATGTTGCTGTTGCTTTAGGAAAAAATTCGCTTTCCTGGACCAGTTGCTTTAGAATTTTCAGTGAGTGAAGATTGATATTGTTGCTAGAAGGCTATTACTTTTGTTTATTCCTAAATTTACTATGAATCCTAGGACATATGATATTTCCTTAAAAATTTCGCTGAAATATTTTTTATTCATGGGAACACAGTTTTTAATACGCCAAGTGTGACGGCAGTTTCCGATTTGAAGCGACACTACGCGAAACTCGGAGGTTATTTGGTAACCATAGGTACAATACAAAAAGTACTTTGTTTGGGATTTCATGTCCATATATTTGAAAATCGCCCACCTGATGTTATTTTAAGTAGAATCTAGTCGTTTTTCACAAAACTGCTCTGATTCGAATTGGAGTTGATTTGAATCGCTTCGATTCAAAATTCTGAAACTTACATCCTTAGTTAGAACCACAGAATTAGATTAGATCATACGTATTCCTATTCCTGCTCACATAATGTGTCACAAAAATACTGTTCAGATAAAACTTACGTCTCTCTTTCGATCAAATGTTTCAACACTATACACCATATTTTCCAACCTTGGGCAACGTTCCTCGTGACGCCTGCCTCCCCTTGGGAAAAAAGTTCTTCTTGTCTAAAAATGAAAGGTTTTGAATGTATTCTTGCTCTTTTAAAAAAAACGTTCGAAATTTTTTTGTTTTTGAATTCATTAATTCTCCAGCCGCTATGCATTCATTCCTTTCGTTTGTTTTGCGCTCCGGGAGTATGTGTACCAAGATGACGCACAACCTGAACTCAAACCTGGTACACATACTATGTTCAGGTTGTGCGCCATCTTGGTACAATACTCCGGGAGCACAGTTGGGAAGAGAGCCACGGATACTGGTAGTTTGAGAATTAATTTTTTACTGCAGTAGTTCTTAAACGGTGGGGCGCACCGCACAAGGGGGTAGACAATTATTTGAGGGGGCTTGCGGCTTATTAAAAATGAAAATATTTGTTAAATTTGATCTTGCCCGCCTTATTTTGGTTTTTTACAATTGTTTATTTCGGACATTTACGTCCCATTTAATGTATTTTCAACGTTTTTTTTTTTTGAATGAAACATACTTTTGCCTTACTATTTGTTATTTGTAGCTTTGTAGCTTTTTGTTAGATGGTTATCTTTGAGGTGGGGCGCGAGACTTGACAAATTTAAAAAGGAGGCGCGGCTTTAAACATGAGAACTACTGCTCTGTTGTGTATGGGTGAGGTTTAACAGACGAAGTACTATTGAAACGAGCCAGAACTTTGTTTTTTTTCAGGGGCTGATAGAACAAACAAACAAAAACTGTTGTTAAATATACTAATTTTTCGAAGTGAATTGGCATTTTAAATTTCCAAGCGCTTAGTTTTTATGCCCATGAACGATAGAGAATGAAGACAAAGGGAATTTACGCTCTACAATTACGCAACCACCACAAAAATTCCTGGGACACTTGATCCAATGCAGTGCTGTAAACGTACTCTACAAACCGCACATACGTCAATCCGATGGAGTGTTCGCACGAAGGTCTCAAAATAGAAACTAGATAGCGGAGACCGATGATAAGTGCACATGCATCTGGAGCAGATTCAACCTCGCTTTCGTGAAATATCGCGTAACATACGAAAGTGTCTGACAAACAAACAGACAGATACCTATCAACGTGGTCGATAAGTAAAAAAGGATAAACCCTAGTGATCTTACCATGTTTGCGATGTATTGATGAAGGTTGCTCAAAACTATTCGAAGTAATCTAATTTATTGTTAAGTAATCAGTTTAATTAACTAGTTGTACCTGTCCAAAAAAATTTACTTGTCAATAACATGCCAACATTCATAGCATGTATGTTCCTGGTCCTCTTATAGCATATTGGGCTAATTTAACTAACTTTATGTAGTTGTACGTGTTAACTAAACATTATTCTAATTTGACTCGGACATTAAAATAAAATCAGAATCGAGCTAAAGTAATAAAAACGCAACAACTAGACCAGGGCTACTCAACTATTTTTACCGAAGGTCCGCATACAAAATTCAAAAATATTTGGGTCCGGTCTTTCCAGAAATTATATTTACGCATCCTTAAACACGCAATTCCTCGGCCGACTAATGATTATTAGCTAATCAACATTGTTTATTATGGCGGTATAGTTCTTTTCGTATATATTTAAATTTATAAAAGTGATTTTATAACTGGAAACTTCAAAAGTGGGGTTAATTAATGATCCGAACTAAAGAGTTAGGCGCGGTCCGAATCGAATACCCGAAAGGTCCAGATTCGGACCGCGGTCCGCCAGTTGAGTAGCCCTGAACTAGACGACATGTACCTTGATATTACAGCGTCATTACCTCGAGATATTAAAACAAGTTCTTAAATAACCACTTATTAGAAGAGGGGTGAGCTAAAAAGAACAAACGATTAAGTATGGGTCTGATTACTAAGACTCGGCATGCGACACATATTCGGAACTAGGAATATCTAGTGCCAGTTTCATATAAACAACAGTGCAGCCAATAACAAAACTACCATGTTTCCCCAACAATTAGACTGGGTCTTATTTCAATTTCAATTTTCCTCCGAAAAATAACACTAGGGCCTATTTTCGGGGGTTGTATTCTCATTTATCAAAAAAAAATTCTAAAGTAGAGAATTACGAGATTTTCAAATATACAAAATATGAAAACCGATATCCATCTATTTATGGATAACATGTTTTGATTCAAAAAATTTGCAAAACATAGATTTATTATCGATCATTTAAAATTCGTAGGAAGGTTTCTTGCTATCGACTATGTCAAAAAACATTCCCGTTATTCACTAGGTCTTATATTAAGGGAAGCGCTTATATTAAAATCATATTTAAAATTCAGGCTAGGTCTTATTTTCGGAAAAACACGGTAGCTACCAAACCTCAAGAAATATTCCTTAACCCTTCACTCAGTCTAATGTAATAATAATTTGGTAACTACGTCTGATATTACTTCGCTACAAAATACAGAATTAGTACATTTTGTTCCGCTATCCTTTTGAAGATTTGTTTTAAACACTCACGTGTTTGAATACTGTAAACGAGATAGCGAAGCCTTTCCACGTTTCTAATAAGGAGGAAAAAATGTTTGTCGGTTATTGTCAATGACGCCTGTCGCAACTTAGAGAACTTCAAGCGGCGTACGCAAGATGAATGTATGACGTCATACTGTGATATCATTTTTTGTAATTTTTATACAATTAAAAAATTCATTGTGACGTCGTGTAGGATTGATATATAAAATGCATGATGACGTCATAAATAAAATGAGTTGTGGTGTCATATTGAGATTTCTATAAAATACACTATGGCGTCATAAATGACATTTTACATCATACATAAAACACATTATTGCAGTTCTAGGTGAGATATGCACGCATCGCGCCAGTATATTTGATGATAACTTGGATTAGGACACAAATTAAAAAACTTGAAGCTGTATTAAATCGTTACGGTACTAGTAAGAGCACCTATGTCCATATAAGGCACGCGAGAATAGATGGTCGATTTTTTTTATTTCAATAACATCCAGCGGGCTGCCTACTCAACTAACTTCTACGCAACAAAACAAATTTTCATAGCTGGTTGTTCGCAAGAGAAAAAAGAGCGAAAAAATAATAAATTTGTTTAGGAGAGTTTGCTCAAGGCAAAGACGTGCGTACTCATTCAACTTACAGAGGCATAAGCAGAATTTTTTTGAACGAAAATTTTAAAAAGGGAGTATGTTCACCAAGATGGCGCACAACCTGAACATAGTATGTGTACCAGGTTAGGGTTATCAGGTTGTGCGCCAAGAGTGCCAAAAATTTTTACGTCGTATATATTATGATGTCATATTTTGTATTTTTCACACCCGAAAATTTTTTGTTGACTCTCGATTAGATTTCCTTAATTGAATTATGACGTCATAAAATGACTTTCACATCTATGTGAAATACAGTTTGAGCGAGGTAATAAGATACTCCCGTAGTATGCGAACCAAGATCTTTATTTTAGTGCTATTACGAGAGTTCGGGGACTAGCCGAGTGACTCCCGTAGTATTTGTACCTGAAATTAGGGCCTAACGCCCTAACCCTAACCTGATACACATACTACGTTCCGGTGTCCGCCATTTTGGTTCACATACTTCCGGAGTACCATAGACGTACACATCACGTAAGTATATTTGGTAATAACTGGGATTCAACCTGGCTGTATGCCTATAAACTAACTTCGAATCTTTTGTAGAAAGCTCTTGACACTAATGCAAAAATTTGAGATTGCAAAGATTTGAGGAAAACACAACCGCCACGTTTTGAAATAACAAATTAGTAATTATCCGGTTCGGGTTAGGAATGATTTGAAAATTTGAATTTCTAGCGCAATCTGGATAAATACTAATTTTTTCATTTTGCACCAAGATGGCGCACAACCTAATAACCCTAACCTGGTGCACATCTATATTCAGGTTGTGCGCCATCTTGGTGCACATACTACGGCAGCACCAAAAATTCGAACGAATAATATTTTTTCATAAGAGAATTTGCTGGTCGTATGCACTTATTCAGAAATAGAAGAGACTCAACTCTGTGCAAAGTTACGAGCGATCACTGATATTTCTACTGCTGTATATGTACATTTATGGGCGCTCCAGAAGTATGTGTACCAATACGGAGGTAACTAATTTTGTTCGCCTATTTCCCTTCGAGTTGTTTAAAAGGTAATGAAACCTATGAGCAGGGGGTATATTCATTTGGCTAACAAAGACAGTCCCCGAACTCGTAATAGAACTAAAATAGGGAAAATCGGAATAAAATAATGGCGCAACCCTAACCTGGTACTAGGCTTGCACGCACGTAATTGACAAAAATCAATTCCGTAATTACGGCCAAATCGATTACGTAATGACCCCGTAATTGCGATATTTTTTTCACACTTTTAAAACTATCTTAACAACCAATTTAATCCACTTCTATTCCGAATGGGACATCGACAGTTGGGACAGTTTGGTTTTCATATTTCCGCCAGTACTACACGCCGGCGACAGATGCTAAAGACAAATATCAAGGAGTGAATTCAAATTAATTTTATTCTGATTTTTATCTTTTGTGTTAGCTTTGATTTTCCTTTATCAACTTTATCACCCAATTTTATGCGATCAATTTCATCATTACCAACACTGGTAAGTGGTAATATATTTATGAAAAGATAGTTGACTTTTTTAAAATCGTATTAACGTATTAATACGAGTTTCGTATTAAATAAAAATTCCGGGTTTCTAATTTATAAATCAACGGCGAGCGTATTCTCTCGTTGGATTATACTTGCGCTTGCCTCGCGACGAAGACTTGTTATTGTACCGTTTTTTTACATTATCCGACTTTACTACCTAGTTAGCATTTTATAATAATTATTGATGCCGACTTATTGACGATATTCCGATTACCATGCTTCATTTTACATTAAATCATTTCGCGGCCTAAATGTTATAACATTATTTGCGATAAATTTAGATCAAATACTAATTATTTGCGCATAATTTAAATACCGTACTTATATGACATGCCTTCTCCGAAAATACAAAGTTATATGCAAAACAATGCATTTTGTGACATTTATTTTGCACTCACGAAAATATTAATTTACTTTTCTAACTCAAGTCGACAATCCTATCGGCTAAGATTGACACAAGTTTGGTCGAGTGCCGGTGGTATTTGAGTCGACGATAAATCAAAATAAGTTGCCGCATTTGGAAAAAGACTTAACGATTTTGTAAAGACATATTTGGCAGAAATAGTGCGAGGCATTGTGAAAACAAGGCCAAGTCCGGACAGATATATAACGATAAAACCGGTAACAGAACATCAAGATTTTGTAATAGAAAATGGATCTCGCGCAGAATAAACACGGGAAATCCCGTCTTTTTGTTGTTTCTCTGCCGTCTGAATCGCTTTACCGGTGCCGAAAAGACTAAGTTGCGTTGGTTCATTACGCAATTTCTCTTCCGTCGTCATATTGCTGTTTGATAAGCGTGACATTAATTATCACGGCATTTACAAATAGACCATGTTTGGTAAGTTAATCTCTTACATTCTTTAGTCATTTCACCCGAAGAAGTTGAAACCAGGTGTGTTCGCGTCCATCGGTCTCAACACAATTCTATCCCATATCTACGCTTAATATGTACATTTGCCATGCTAGATAAGTTGATAATAGGTTAGTAAATGGCAACGCGTTATGCCTTCTCCATCTGAGTAACAAGAGAGAGAAAAACGGCTGCGAATACCGGAACTCTAACTTCTTCTACTTATTAAACTTTAATTTTTTACAATCTACGGAATTGACTGCTCTAAAAAGAGCTCGTTTCAATCGCGAAAGCGCTCCACCAATAATTACGAATTTACGTAATTCGTAACTTCGCTTCCGTAACTCGAAATAATTCCGTAATTCCGTAAATCCGTAAATTACGTGCAAGCCTACCTGGTACACATAAACTACGAGAGTACCATTTATGTATCATAAATAGGCAGCGCGCTTCTGAAATTTTCAAAAGATTGTTTTTCAGGCTGCTCAAATTTCTACAACAACAACTTCCAGCTGTTAGCTACGCAACTGATGCATAGACAAAAAAAACAAATGTTCGAAGCAGCGAGTTGTAAAGAGAAAAAATGCGAACCAATAATCGTGAAGGCCCAATGGCAACCCATTGACGTCAGAGCGATTGAAAAATGAGGAAGTTTAAGTTTCTTATAAATTCTACTGACAACATGGCAATAATAAAATATTATAAACCTGATCTAAGAAACTGTTGACCTTTTTCATTCCTACATACTGTTTCATTCAATGCTCACGAACACACATAAACAAGAAAATAAAAAGTCGTTACGCCTGTAGCGTGCGAACCAAGATGGCGGAACTACGTTCCGGTGTCCGCCATTTTGGATCACATACTTCGGGAGTACCAAAAAGTCATGGGTGGAAATAATTTTTTTCACAAAATATTAAACGATATAACATCAGAATGGCTTTCCTGGTAAACTACCACGAATAAAAGTCGACTAAATTTAAATATTATTCATGTAACAGTTCAAGACTTAACACATGTAGTTAATTTCAAGAATCGGTGATCAACGTTCTTGTTGTTTATTAAATGAATTTTACTGAAAACGTTTTATAAACTGTTTGCTACACTTCTGGTCCTGAAATACATTTTGAGAAATTTAAAAATTCATTTTGACGTCATATTATTAGATTTCTTTAAAAAAAAAGTTGTTAGGACCACATAATACTTTTTTCTCCTACTTAAAATACAGTTCTAGGCAAGATACGTGCGCTTCACGCAAGTGGGCTACATTTGGTTACAGAAAAAAAATGAGGAGAAAATATCCGTGGGGCAAAAAGTCTGTATACCCTACCGCGTTTCCCCGAAAATAAGACCTAGCGTGAATTTTTAAAATGATTTTAAATAAATAAAAAATAAGACATAGTCAATAAAATTATTTAATTATATAAAATTATTTTTTGACCTAGTGCTAGTCGATAGCAAGAAATCTCTCCCACCCCTATTAAATGATAAATATTCTATGTTTTGCTGTTATTTTGAATAAAAAGTGTTATTTATGGGTAAATTGATATCGGTTTTCTTATCTTGCATATTTAAAAACCTCGTATTACTTCATAATTTTGTTTTTGATAAATGAAAATAAAAGACATTCTAGCCCTAGGGTTATTTTTCAGAAGAAAATTGAAACAAGACGCAGCCTTATTTTCGGGAAAACACAGTACTTGCCCAATATGGCGAATATCTCATAAATATTCGTATGTTATCATCCTCAAACAACTTACAAAGCCACTTGTATGATATTTTAGTTTGGTTTAGAAAACAATGTAGGGTGCGGAATGTCAGACCTCCGTGTTTGTACGGACCTATAAGGTGCGTCACCATAGTTTGGGAAAATCAGGATATTTCTGGTTCGACATTGCTTACCCTATTTATTACACCCAGAGTAAGGGCATGGTATTTGAACCCGGGATTTAACCTGCAACAGCATGATGGTGTAGCCTAATGCCTCACTACAAAGCCATCACGCTTATTCTTCGACTCAAAGCAGCCACTTCTCGCTACAATTATATATTACTTTTTGAGACGATGAACCGTAAATAATACTAATACCCAGCATTCAATTCTGGGATTTTGCCACGTCTTCCTCGACAGACACAAGGATAATGATGTTTCAAACGTCACAATGAGTCGATAAAAGTTCTTCGCTTCCCTTGGTGATACTTGTAGTGACATTCTCACGCAGTTTTTGCCTTTCGGTGTAGATAATTACGAAAAAGGGTACTCCTGGAGTATGCGCACCAAGATGTCGCACAAAAAATGAACCCTAACCTGGTACATAACCTGAGTTCAGGTTGTGCGCCATCTTGGTGCGCATACTTCAGGAGGTCCCGAAAAAGATTTACAAGATATGTATGTGGATCTTCGGTAAAAATAGTTGAGTAGCCCTGATCTACAGGTCAACTCATTGTAATGTGCAAGAGTCCGGCTTTCACAGTAAAATATCTCCCATTTCACAGTCATAGCAAAATGCATAAAAATCTTGTTCAGGCCCTTTCTCAGGGTTTTCCTTCAGTCCTGCCGTGCGACTGAAGCTCCCACATGCAATATTAATTTCGCTATCTCAAAAATAAAATCTTTTCTCAAACTACGTCAAGACTTTTTTCGGTACTCCCGAAGTATGTGAACCAAGATGGCGGACACCGGAGCGTAGTATGTGTACCAGGTTAGGATTAGGCCCTAATTCCAGGTACAAATACTACGGGAGTCACTTGGCTAATCCCCGAACTCGCAATAGAACTAAAATAAGGAAAATTGGAATAAAATTATGGCCTAACTGGTACACATACTACGTTCCGTTGTCCACCATCTTGGTTCACAGACTTCGGGAGTACCAGACTTTTTACCTATACTTGTTCTTAGCCATCCTCCCCTACATTGTGCCAGACGCATAATTATTAGTCTTGTTACCATTTATTAGCTACTAAGCAGTTACGATAGAATTGATTAGTATACATTTAAAATGGAAATTACAGAAAAAAAATTACACATATGCTATAAACACAGGGATGCCAAAACCGAATCAAAAAATTGAATGCTTTTGAAATTGGTAACATTCGACATAGGTAATTAGTTCTAGGCTTTGAGAATGATTTATAAAGTTTTTATTTAGAAATTTGTAATTTCTCAGCAAATGATCCATTTCGAATAACTGTAGAGGTTGCGCAATCAAATAAACAATGTTTATCTTATTATAATAAATTTCAGTTTTTAACAATGATTAATGGGGAAATGCAAGCAGGCTGGAATTTAGAATATTTGATATTTCATATTCAGAAGTATTTTTTTAAATCGTGAATTAATTGGTTTTCGACATCCCTGCAATAGGCAGAATTAAAATATATGTACAATCAAATTGGTTTTGAACATAAAAGACTCTTGATAGCACATTCTACAATTTGAATAAAATTGATACCTGGCAGTGAAGGGGTTAATATTTGTAATATATTTCAGATAATTTACAAAAAAACATTACCTAAAAGAAAAAATCTTGGTATTATTTTCACTAAAGGTAGCAAGGGACTTTCGGAAAAATCTATGTTAAATTTTGCAAAAATATATCTATATGGTTATACATGAAACCTCAATTATGATAAATAGTTTCATAGATTGTGGTTACTTTCAACCAGAAAGAATCCATTTCAACAAAAAATCAAGAAAAACAATTTAACTCGAACTTTTTATTTCAATAAATCTGTCGTAATGCGTTCGAGAGTCTCTAATGTTTAAAGGCATCATTAATATAAATGGTGCTCCAGGAGTACGTGTACCAATATAGAGGTAACTAATTTCGTTCGCCTATTTTACATCAAGTTGTGAAAGGAGGGAGAGCCCATGGGCTGGGGGTATATTCACCCAACTAACACAAACAGTCACCGAACTCGTAATAGAACTAAAATATGAAAAATTGAAATAAAATTATGGCTTAACCCTAACCTGGTACACGCACTACGGAAGTACAAGAAAATGAATTACAATAAAACACATTTTAAATTTTACAGGCATCGGTAATTATTCAATGTAGATTTGTGGTTTTGATAATTACTTGAAAAAGTGGAAAGATTCGCTTTTTCGGCGAAACTAGGCTTGAAATAAAATTGAATTCGCTTTCTTCCACTTCCATAATTACCAACACCATCAAAATCCCTTGAGTGAATCAACTTATGTGCCAACCAATCCCGGCTCCGATGCAGGCTCCCGTACCTCCACCGACAAAAGTAACTATGGCAGTCAAAACCATACTTCCTCCAAACAGGAATGGTAAAAGCCATCCGAAAAATGCCCCACCAACCCCACCCACTACAATGAGTAAGAAAAACTTGGTCCAGTCCTGAAACACAAATAACAAAGTGTTGGTCGGGAATTTCATTTTGTTAATGCCACCAAATTTTCACTTTATGAATCACACTAGAAGTAGTAATCCTAGTTTCCTCTAATAATCCTATTGTTCATGACCAGTGCCCATACAGCAAACCCACACAAGTTAATCAGTGCGATGATAGCGAAATATGTTACTTATGCCCAGCAAAATACGGCCGCGGTCATGCAATGGTTGTGAATTTAAAAATATATTTGAAACTCAACTCACAAAATTTGGACTTTTGTTTTTAGTAATTCTCTTTGCTGCTTTGTCCAGATCTTCCTTTTTCACTCCAGCCTTTTTGAACAAGTCATCCAATAGTTTGGAAGAATTTACATCTCCCTATGAGATGTGAAAAGGAAAGTATAAAAAATTAATTTATAATAACAAAAATGGCACTAAAAACGAGTACCCAATCAAAGCAGCAGATGCAACCATGTTTCACAATGGAGGATGGCATTTGATATGGAAATATTACTGAATATTATGTATTCAGTGAGCCTCTACCAATGTTGCCTAGCTATTCGTATTATAGTGATACATAGTTATGCACACATTGAAGTCCAGTGGTTCTCAAACTTTTTGAGTCGTGTCTTAGTTCCAGAATTTGTCAAGTCTCGTGGCCCGCCTCAAAAATGATAAGCTACAAATAAAAGATAGTGAGGCAAAAGTATGATTTTTCAAAAATAAAAAACACGTTGAAAATACGTGGATGAAATCGCAATCTTCAAACAATAAAGAAATCTAAATAATCAAAGTAAGGCGGGCAAGATAAAATCTAACGAATGTTTTATTATTATATTCAGTAGCTTCGCGCCCGCTCAAATAAAAAACAGTCTACGCCCCTTTTTTGGGGTGCGCCCCATCGTTTGAGAATCACTGCATTAAACTATCCAAACTTCGCAAAAGCTAGGGTGAGAGTTGTGCATAACACTAGCTAAGTGACGTTTCAAGTTTGAACAAATAATGTAAACACAATTTTTATGCGCAGTGTAGGAGAAATAAACACAGGTTTAAATAGGTAAAGGTTCGTAAATATCGAAAAAGTTTGGGACCACTTTAAAATGGAAGGATATAAACTTATTGCCATATTCACAATTCTGCCTCTACGAAAATTTTTGCATCTCGTAATAACATAAGGTATGTTTAAGTGAATACCGGAAACTCTTCCATCAACTTGTTCATTTCAGCTACCAGCTCTTCCGTGCTTAATTTTCCTTGAGCTGCCTTATTCTTAAATTCTTCGATCTTCTTTTTCGCATATGAACATCTGTCCTCATAATGAAGAAAGCTTTTGCGAAATGATTTCAGTTCAGCCTAGATGAAAAAGATTAAAATTCGGAAATTAATTTCAATACTGAATAAATACAAAATATGTGCTTTTTAAAGTCAAAATAGGCATCACAATAAAAAATTATATATCAATTATACTTTTTTCGTTCATATTATTTTTCTTTCAACATTAAACGTATATTATTAATTGAGAGCATACAATTCTTTAGCGCTAAGTAACGGGTCGATTCCGTGAAATTAAGAAGTAATACTCTTGCCCCCTGATAACAAATTTTGATGGACTGAAATTAATACTGTACTTCAAGATATGCATACATACCGCTTTCTACTTTCATTTTTTAAATTGATTCACAATGAAAATGCATATAAAGCTTAAGTAAACAATTGAGGCCAAATTTGTATACCCATTTTTATGCATGTCATACGACCCCCAAAAATTACCCTATATACAATAATTATATATCATTAGAAAGGTCTTTTAGAGTACTATACGCTAGATGTCACTGGAGGACCGTAAACTGAAACACCTGTTTCACGAGGTCTCTTGTAACGTCAAAAAATAACAAAAATATTTCCACTCTCTCATTCTATCAGCTGTTGGACGTGTAAAGCTATCGTAAAGCTCAAATGTGACTATACAGTTGACTGCACATTGGTTTTCTCTTTGTGTGATATTAAAAGCTTGTTTTTAGCGCGCGTCGTTCAAGCGTTTTGGAAATTTTCCGTTTGAGAGTCACCACATCGAATCAGGCTAGGCTAAGCTTGATCGATCGGTTGTTTGTTTGTGCTTTATCGCGTTGAAAGCTTTTGTGAGTCATAATAAAACATAATCGTGAGACAAGGAGAGTTCGCGAGATAAAACGCTTATGTGAACTAACTTCTTTTCGGTGAGGCAGCTGCGATCAAACGACTCGATATTTTTATTACTTCCCGGCGTTGTGAGATGGCCACTCTCCCATGTTAGGTAGCATATAAAATGACCTTCAAAATAAGACCTTATCATACTAGCTTTTGTTATTGGTTAGCGCGCAACGCCAAGGTTTATTGAATTATTTTCTTGTTGTGCGACGTTTTTCTATCGCAGCGGGAAGTACACGCGTGAAATGTAAGCGCTATTTTATTACTTCCAAATGTCATATAACGTTCATTCTTCTATTGCTGGGTAGGAAATGAGCTATTCTTCCAAACAAGACCATAACAAACATTCCAGACCTCATGATTTACACAAAACGTCTGAAATTGCGCAAATGCGCCTAGTAGACAAAAGTAGGTTCGGTTATGAGACAAGTTTCCGCCCCTGTCCACAAGTTGCGAGAGAAACCACTTTTATTTTTATAAATTGTAACTTTTACTGACCATATGATTTTTTTGCATTTCTTCAATTTTGTTTTCATACTTTTTCTTGAGTTCTATATCTCTTTTGCGGCAAGCCTAAAGAAAATAGAACAACTCTTGTTAATTAGAATATTCGCACGCATGTGTTTAACTCCTAAACTAGAAAATTAGTGGAATAAGTTGAAATCAGATTACACAAACCACCCTTTTATAGGTAAATCATAGATAAGAGAGAGCGGCCTTCTAAAGTTTGATAAACACAATAATTTGGTTTTCACTTATCAGGTATGCATACAGACAAGGTCTCGAAAGTGTTACTTATGAATAATAATAGCGGATAAGTTGCACTTTTTATACCAACAGTTGTGCCAAAATCAGTGGTAGGGATGTCCGTATCTGGAAACTAAACTGAAAAAACATTTTGTATATTGTTGAAACTGAATTCTCAATGATGCACCAGTGTTTGAATCACATTAATGACCACCATAAGGAAGTTAAAGGAAAACATGGAATGATACAAGGTCTGCCAAATTGCACTAATGCACATTGCTGAAAGAATGAATTATTCACACTGGTTAAATCACGAAAGGTGATGATGAATTTCAAAGCCGACGCAACATTTAAAAATCAGAATAAAAAAAAAAGGGTCTTGAATTCACTCCTCAATAGTTGTCTTTGTCAGAAAATCCAAATTTCCACATCCGCCGTTGCGAAGAAACTGGTACTTGTGAAGAAAAGTGAACGGAGCGCGTGGTCGTCGTGCCACCGATGCAATGTAACTCAATAATGCCATCAAAATATTTGTTAAATTGCACTCAATGAAATAAATGCGTGATGAGTTGGCGATTATTTCACAAATCGGTTATATTTTAGGGTTTTCTGCGGTCTGAAAATCTTATTTGAATATAAGCGTCTCGACTTCACTCGTAAAAAACGATGTCGCGATATAGTAAACGCAAATATAATTACCATTAAATTATACTCGGGATCGCGTGAAAATTGTTGATAACAACTTTGAACCTAATTAGTTTGTTCAGAAATATTAGTTAATTGTTGTAATGAAATACAATTTGTTTGCCTCTTTTGACCATACAATATTGTAAATGTACAATTAAAAATTTATTATTGGTTCGTGCAAATGGAACCACCCAGACTATAAGGGAGTGTCTTGTAAAAGTTATTCATGGTGAATTGTATATAAGCGGAAATGTGATGATCTTAAAAACCAATTGATTAAATTAGCAACGATCATTTTCTATATATTTACCTCATTTTCCTGACGCATTTTTTCCATTTCGGCTTTCATTTCAACCTTAAAAAAAACTTTTTGTTTATTGGTTATGCACTCGTGTCTTCGAGTTCATATGATTATAAAAAAGTAAAATTTTATTTTTCAGAAAAAAATATTTCAAAAAAGAAATCTTAAACAAAGCATTTATAGGAAAACATACAGATAATACTTACACGTATCTGTTCTCTCATTTCATTCATTTTTTCTTCGAAACTTCCTTGTGAAATGTAATCACCTTCAGGGGCGAAAGTTCGTCTAACCTATATGAAAAATGAGTGTTGAAACGATCCTCACCATTAAATTTAAGTTACCTTATTAAAAGCTACATTATTTAAATTTGTTCAAAATTGGAATTTCATTAAAGTCCTGTCACACTATTGAGCAGACAGGTCTAGAGTTTTATTTTTAGGAGGAAAACTTTCTTATTCATTCTGGCCATGTGTTCCCACAGAATGGATAATTAATTTTTTGTATTCACATACACTAAATAATTCTTTTTTTCATAATAAACAACAAGCCGCCAAACAACAACTTTCACTTATTAAACCGGACTTTTAGACAGTTTTTTTTTTCTGTCGGCTTATGCATAGAAACTTTTCTTCGTTACGCTTTTTCACTAAGTTTGCTCTAAAAAAACCCGTAAATATTATCAATTTATCTTGTTATAGAATACGTCTTCATAACGAGCAGACGCAGTTGAACACCCAACGCGCAATATCATAGTCCTGGTGCACAAAACTGATCCAGTTATATACATACCATCAAAATAATAACTATAATGAACAGATGTAAAATAAAATCAATGCAGAAATATCAGTCTTGACAACTTACTAAAGCGGCATCTTCGTCACTATCAGCAGGAACGAATGCGGCGTTGGACATTGCAGACATAGTCGATGTTAAGTCTGAACTAATATGCTATCACGGCAGAAATGATTCAAAATGGTCGACTTTTATGCCACCGATATTTCTCGTGAATACCCACAGGGGTTTCATATTTGAGAAATCCCAGCCAAAATTGAAAAACTATTTCCACGCCTTCATTCACCATGGCATGATGCAGGCATGGGTGTAAAGCATATATAAAGGTGGTGGATAGACAGGCTTGTCCATAGGACACAATTTTCTGTCCAATCCCATAGCAATTTATGCCTGTCCCATCCCATCTCATGGGATTCCCATTGTAATAAATTCAATAAAAATTGCTAAATTTAGATTTAGCGTCTACTAAATAGGACTACATGTACGAATAGACATGCAAAACAATAAAACTTACGAACTTTGTTAACTTTATATTCATAACTATTATACATGTGTCTATCAGCCCTTCACGAAGTATGTTGTTAATGCTGAATATATTTTGCTCTTTATAACTAACAAAAGAGCTATGCTCAAATATATGAACACGAAGTCCATAACGAATTGTTTTACCATAATTTTCCCGAAAATCATACGGTTTTCATGTCCCATGTAGGGTTGCCAACTTTGTGTTAAACCATTCTAGAACATGGTGGTCCAAGGTCATCGGCCTCGCGGGCCACACTATAATTTTTGTATTGATCGCGGGCACGAATATTGCCACGAATAGTTAAACAGTGCAATACAAAACAAACACTTTTATTGTCCAAACACATTGGTCACTATTTGGTATTTATCAAGATAAAACATGCAAAAACCACCAAAAAATCTCAATAAACGTGCAAAAATTTTAGTATATCTACATTTAGTGTAAGATTTCAAAAGATTTATAACGGAGAAAGTGAGAGTCACCGACACAACTTGCAGACATATTAAGCATGCCTTGTGGTATTTTTCCTCCCATATCCAGTCAAAAATTTGTTTGAATTGGTCAGCTTTCTTTTCAAATTCATATTTACAAAATAACTTACAAATAACAGCAGATTGATTGATTACCGAATTTTACCAAATTTGAGATATAGGGGGGTAATTACCAAATTTTCTAACATATAGGTATTTTTTGTAATACTGTTCAGGCCGGTTGCAAAAAACACCCGGCAGGATTATATTGGTCGGTCACTACATTAATATATATTTAGTTATCATGCATAGCCAACCTAGGCTAATAGATTCATCATTCTATGGAGCCTATTTTGTTAGCATATATTCTCGACCGAAAATATAGAAACCAGTTAACAATTTAGACGTGTCAAGCACATCATTCATTTTTGCTAGTTACCTCAGCTTGCCATAACACAAGTCAATTCAGTGACGTAAGTGATGTTATGTAACAATATGACAGAAGATTTTTTCTGTTATTTTTTGACGAAACAACACCAAATGCGATTTTTTGTTTACCACTGCCCAAATGAGACGCGGGCCGCGGGCCTGGTTTTGGACCAGCCTGGTCTAGAATTTGAAAATTGATGCAACAGAAGCTTGTGAAACACGAAGCACGTCAAAAGCAATAGTACGCGCTTCGCGTCGTGTAGCGTTATTTACCAAACTGTAAATAAATTTATGATAATCAACGAAAGTTGTGAAATGTTGACTCTTCAACCTAGTCGTGTATATTTAGGCATTAACGCATAAATGCAAAAAAAACTAAAACAGGGAAATGTACTATTTTTGCTAAGTAGATTTAATTATTTAACAAAAAACACAAGAAATTAGTCTTTCTTGTATTTAAATTTTTATTGTGATTTTGCCGATTTAAGAAGATCTTTGTTAGTTTTCACAAAGTTTATGTCAAAATTTGTAATCCTTACGAAAAAAATATAATAAATAATCAACTCTCGCTAAGACAAGAGCTGTCAGCAAGCCGTCCTAAAACAGACGGCTGTGCGAGCCTGAAAACTGACTGAATAATGAAATCCTGGTCATAAAAGAGCCTCACGCTAACAGCGCATTATAAACTAAAAACAAGAAACAAAAATATTGTTACACGCAGCAACTTTATTAAATAAATTTTTCAACAAATCTCACTGGATTAACTTTTTTCCCTCTCAAATTAGGGTGACTGCTGTATATAATGTTATGTCATCAGGAGGGCACGATTGACGAAACATGTCTAATCCACAAATTTCAACTCACTCCTATTCGAATGAACCATATAGATGTGTTCGTTTTTATTGAAAAATGTGTTTGCGTGAATTACATCCGTCTCCAGTTTTGAATGAAGCCAACACGCTTACAGTGGCTTTCTATCTCAGAACGCCTGATAGTCGGTAAATTTGGGGACAATCATAACCCAGCCCGGGACACGGGACGCTAGACGTCAATTCTGGGACTGTCCCGGCCATTCCGGGACATTTGGCAGCCCTAGTCCTATGGGAAATACAAATGTGTGTTGTCCCATCCCAAACCATGAGACGTTTCCCATGGGAATCCCATTCCTATGGACAAGCCTGCGGATAGATCAAGCGTTTTCATTACTTGTTTTTTTTTTTCAAGTTTTTGTCCCGATAATATCCAAGTGGTAGCTACTCAACTGGTGCATACACAAACAAATGATCAAAGCTGCAAGTTCTCAAAAAAAGAGTGCGAAGAAATAATACATTTTTATATGATAATTTGCTCAAAGCAAGGTCCTGCACGCTTCTTTGGAAGTAACTCATTTCTAAAAAAGGTTGCGGGCGAACAACTAAAATGTCAAATGCTATATGTGCATTTTTATAACATAGATGGATTCCTTTGTACCCACCCCTATCGGTAGCTACGCGACTAATGCATAGACAAAAATAGTTAAAGCTGCGAGGTAAAAGGAAAACAAATAACCTTAAACGCATAATGGTAACCCATTGACGTCAGGACGTTAAAATTGAGGAAGTGGCCCCATCACTTCAAGTTACAAAATTACACGAGAAAAGAACATAGATAATAATATAGAATATAGATAACTTACAGGCGGTCGTCCATCTTCATTGGATGTCATGCTCGAAACATATGCGATGTTGGGTATATCCGACATGGTTAATTAGCTATTTTTCAGTTATTGATAATTGATAATTCAAGATGACTCTAATAAACAAAAGACGGTTACCGGTAGTTATTTTGTTCGATAATCATACTTCATCATTGTAAGATTTTCACGCTAACAAGTTAAATGTCATAATTCATCTACAACTGACTCGAAAGTTATTTCACTCATAAATGGAAGGCAGATTTGCCGTTAAGTGCGGGTTATCCAATATATTTGGATGTATAACACAGGTGGGATATTTTTATTTGTCAAGATAGTCAGGTAATATTCTCGCTGCAGGAATATAGATCGTACGATAAAATTGAAAACAAGTATTTGAAAAATTGAAAAACGCCAGCCAATCGCGAACAAACTTCGAAGTTTCAATTAAATTGTTGAACAGTTGCTTCCAACCTGTATGTGTGCCAGGAAATCGAAATGAGGGTTTTACTTTTGGAGCTTCCGAAGTATGTGTACCAAGATGGCGCACATCCTGAATATAGTATGTGTACCAGGTTAGATTTCAGGTTGTGCGTCATCTTGATACACATGCTTCGGGAACGCCTCACTTTCCATTATAAGCCTAATCTAGGGAGCAGATTTGTCGTTTGATTTTCCCAAAACATTGGGTGCGGGTTATCTAAAGTATTTGACTTTGTGTGACATAAGTAGTATATTTAATTGGCGCCCCCGTAGTATGTGTATCAAAAAGGCGCACAACCTGATAACTCTAACCTAGTACATATACTATGTCAGGTTGTGCGCCATCTCGGTGAACACACATACCAAAGTGGCGCGAACGTAATATTATTCCCCACCAATAAAATCTGACATTTTAACAGACGACATGCTATTAGAACGAACCAGAACTTTTTTCAGGGACTGTTAAAACAAACGAACAAAACCTGTTGTGTTATATACTAATCTTTTCAAGTGAATCGCCATTTCAAATTTCTAAGCGTTTAGTTTCTATACCAATGAACGATGAACCTCTCCCCGATCTTTGACTCCGAAAACGTTTTCCTATACTTTAAAATTGCAAAATTTTCAGGGCTTATCTTTTTAAGAATGGTTGCGCGAGTTGGCGCTTGTAAAATGAGGTATTTGTTTCAAACCATCATTATAATTCGCATACGACAATCTGTTTTTTAAAAGTACCGGTAATTTTTTTTAGCTTAGTCTATCACAGCCATTTCTACACTATTTTTTTGTTACTGCAATTGGAATCTCAAGAAGTCAAAGTGATAATTGAATTATCTGATTTAAATTTCCGGAACACAACTAAAAACTAAGGAATAGAGTTCGAAAACGCTTAATGTTTACCACCACTCCTGAAAATCTATCGGAGTGAGAAAAGTGTCTGAGCGGATGCAAAAATGGGGAAGGTTCATAGAGAACAAGAGAGCTACGCCCAAATATATGGACACGTCTGTTCGCAGTACAGTACGGTTTACCGTACCGTCGATCAGCGTAAGGACAAAATCGTAGCAAAGTACCGTAAGGACTTCGTTACGGACCATCGACGTTCGATGCCACGTGATCAAAAAGAAGAGGAGTGTCGGCTATGCGTCCGCAGAACGTTCGGTGACGTCATAGCAAACAAAAACAAATCTCACAGAGCTAACAGAAATATTTGAAATAAATAAAAGTAATAGCCTTCTGGAGGAAAATTTCATCTTTAACCAGTAAACATTTCGAAGCAATCGGTCCAGAAATGAAAGAGAAAAGCGGTTTTTTAGATTTTTCACTAGATGTCCAAAAAGTGTCAAAGAACAACAACAACAACAACAACAAGACCAACATAATATTGAAACGATCGTTATGTCCACTACGTGTCCAATAAGGAAGAAGAGTATTTACGCCCAACAATTGCGCAACCACGACAAAAGTAGCTGTGTTACGTGAGCTGATAAGTTCACGCTCGATGTACTGTGAACGCACCTCGTAAACCGCACATACGGGTTCCGCAGCAATGTCTGGCTTGCTCGTACGAAGGTGCCAAAAATAGAAAAAGGATAAGCCCGAATGCTGTTTATTGTGTTCGCGATGTAGCGTATTGATGAAGGTTCCTCAAAACGATTCGAAAAAAATCGAATTTATCATTAATTAATCGGTTCAAGTTGTACCTCTCAAATAAAATTTATTTGTCAATAACAAGCTAACATTCATCATAACATGTGAGTTTTTATTTCTCTCATACCATACTGAGCTAGTTTAACTTTAGTTAACAGTTGTACGTGTTTCAACGGTGACCGTACATTTGAACCCACGGAATTTGAACCTATACATTTGTACCGGTATGTCCGCGGGTTCAATGTATATTTGGGTGCTAAAATCCATGGGTTAGGGTTAGTATGGGTTCAAATATCCATAAAAAAAATATCCATAGGTGCGATAGTATGCAGGTGCAATTGTCGTGGGTTTAAATTACGGGTTCAAATGTCCGTGGGTTTAAATGTAATGGGACCGTTTAATTTAAACTAAAAATTATTTTAATTTGACACGAACACTAAAATCAGAATCAAGCTGAAGTAATAAAAACGCGACAATTAGACCTGTACAAACCATGATATTACAGCGTCATTACCACAAGATATCAAAACAAGTTCCGAAATGACCACTTATTAGGAAACGGGTTAGCTAAGAAGAATTATCGATTAAGTGAGGGACTAATTACCAACTTTATGACCTTTGACCGATGCTGCCAGCAACATATTTTGAGGGGACGCTCATCTAACCGCGCCATTAAAAACTGTCTGGCTTATCAGTCATGTATGTGTTTGAAAATATACAATTCCGACACATTCGGAAGTATGAATATCGAGTGTCCGCGTCATATAAACAACAGTGCAGCCAATAACAGAACTACCATGTTTCCCCGAAAATGAGATTGGGTCTTATTTCAGTATTCTACCGAAAAATAACACTAGGGCTTATTTTCGGGGGATGTCTTATATTCTCATTTATCAAAAACAAAATTACGAAGTAGAAAGGTACGAGATTTTCAAAAATACAAAATTTGAAAACCGATATCCATTTACTTATGAATAACACGTTTTGATTCAAAAAAACTGCAAAACATAGTTGTATTATCGATCATTTAAAATTCGTACGAGTGTTTCTTTCTATCGACTAGGTAAAAAAAAAATCGCGTCTTGACTAGGTCTTATTTCAAAGGGAAGGCTTATATTAAAATAATATTTATTATTCAGGCTAGGTCTTTCAGGGCATGTTTGATTTCCGGAAAACACGGTAGCTACCAAACCACAAAAAGGTGTTCTCAGACCCTGCACTCTAATGCAAAGGTTCCCAAACCGCGGTCCAATTGCGGCCCGCGAACGATTTAAAATGGCCCGCCGAACTTGGGTAAAATAGTTTAACGGTTAAAGTTTAACCGTAATTAAATTCCAATACGTTCACCACTTTATGTTTTTACTTTTTTGCGAGACTGAAAACAGACGTTTTTCAGATAAATGGCAGCGTTCTGATTTCTTTATGGAAAAAAAATCAAACTTCAGCGATTTGTCTTCTTTCTAAACAAAATATACCAGTTCTGAAGGAATATACTATTAGGCGCCATTATGAGACGCAGCATACTTCAAATTATGATCAGTTGACGCATGTACTTCAAAATTTAATTCATTGCTAAATCCATACAAAAGTCAAACATATATGTTAAAAAATGTCAAATGAAAGTGAATCCACGTTATTGGCCAGCTATATTGTAGCCCACAACATCGCTAAAAAGAGCGCCGTTTGTTGAAGGGGAATTTTTCCGTGAATGCTTGATGCAAGTTTTGGAAGTCATTTCACCTGATATAAAAATTAAGTTTTCCAGCTTCAGTCTTCCTAACAACGCAATTTTGAATCTTAACATATAAAAACTTCGGTCCAGACTGACGATAATCACTTGAATGTGTTTTTGGGAATACAATGTACTGAATTAGAGCCACGTTTTGAACATATGATTCTGAGCCTACCCTACATACACGTATACACAAAAATACGCAACTAAATTACGTTGGCATTTCGTTTTTTTGAAATTATATATTATATACACTAGGGTGTTTTTTGTGTGTAAATAACAAGCCATAAGTAGCCATTTATGTCAGATGAGCAAGTAACTTCATTAGTCACTATTAGTTGCAAATCCTTGTTGAGTGTCGTGCTTGTTATTCCTCAGGTATTCAATCACCTAACTATTATAAATTAATAATTTCATTACATAACAAATTGCGATGCTAGGTGTATCTAAAATCCAGCTTGCAGCCTATTTTAATTTTTCAAAATTTTGCCCTTTTTGCCGCTCCCATTTTCTGGCCCGCAAATATTCTTTTGCTTCGAATTTTGGCACGCGGTAAATCAACTTTGGGAACTTCTGCTGAGTCTAATGTAATAATATTTTTTGTAACTACGTCTGATAATACTTCGCTACAAAATGAAGAGTTCGTGCATATTGTTTTGCTGCCTTTTCACAGATTTTTTCTAAACGCCAAATAATAAATTTATATCGAAGAATTTGCTCAAAGCAAGGTCGTGTATACTCATTCCACTTACAGTGGCGTACGCACAATTTGGGGAACTCTCGTAGTATGTGAACCAAAATAGCGGACACCGGAACGTAGTATGTTTACCAGGTCAGGGTTAGGCCATAATTTCGGGGACAAATACTATGTGAGTCACTTGGCTAGTCCCCGAACTCGTAACAGAACTAAAATAAGGAAAACTGTAATAGAATTATAGCCTAACCCTAACCTGGTACACATACTGTGTTCCGGTGTCCGCCATCTTGGTTCACATATTACGAGAGCGCCGAATTTTGTTGAAGGATAATTGAAAAAAATATACGATATATATATAATGATGTCATATTTTGTATTTTTCACACCCGAAACATTTTGTCGACTTCATATTAGATTTCTTTAAATGAATCATGACGTCATAAAATGACTTTTACATCTATGTAAAATAAGGAATTGCAGTTCTAGCTAGATAATAATATATATACGCATCACGCAAGTATATTTGAAATAACTTGGATTGGTAAACAAATTAATTAGGAAATTCGAAG